TTTGAATAACTCGAGAATGAGAATAGCTATTGAAATGCAGTTTTCACTGTTAGAAAGAGGTTATGTGAGAGTACTTATATAGCTAAGAAGCAAAGCAGTTGAATAGCTTTATAGAAGTTGTTCAAGAGCATTTTTATATACCAGTGACGAACTCTTTTGATTACATGTAGCTCTAATTTCAATTTAGCAAAATTTTAGTCCAACATCTGCTCTATAAATGCTAAAATTTTCAAACATTTTCGAGCTTTTTCTGAGATAGAGAAAAAAATATCTTGAAATCTAGTGAGAGTAAATTTGTAGAAATTTTCAGGAATTTTCACTTGAAATGTTTCAGCTATAGAGATAGTATAATCTATCATTTATTGTAGCGTTATTAGTTAAATAATTGAACGTCTTTGATTGTATCTATAGATAGTTGCATCATAGTTCTAGTATTTTCAGTTTTCAGTTGGGAACTCAGTCATCGGTAACTCACTAATTTTGTAGGAGGGAAAAAGTTTTTTCTGGACAAATTCTATATACATAAGAGGATGACCGTTTTGTCAGGTAGACTTTAGTATGTGAGCCACTGGCCATGAGTCATGTTAACGAACGACTAGCCGCTGATGTTAGTGTTTACGACGCATGTGCTTCAGAAAACATCTCAATAATCTATAGTCCAAATGTTTTGGTACAAAATGTTTGCTAGTTTTTGAACTACTTAGAAGCAACTATTGAGAATGAAAATCGGTCAGTTAGAATCAAAATATTATGCACTCTCGAAAAATATCTTCAGAGTTCCCGTTTGATGCAAGCTTGGTCAAGTATGAAAAAATTGTTCAAAGGACCAAAAATGGTATTTGTACAAAGCAAAATAGAGAGTTTTGCGCAATCCTTAGTTCGTGTGATTTGAACGTCAGAAAGATCTTAACTAGTCTATATTGTAGAGCATTTCATTTCCTATAAACTTGATTTTTCAAAAACTCCTTCTTTAATCATACAAAATATTTTGAATGTTTAGTGTAAGATAAAATGCAAAATATAAACAGCACATTTAGAAGGGCAATGTCTTCTCTAAAAAAATTGATTCATTAAAAATAATTTCACGTTCTGCATTACGTGGATCTAGGTTAAAATACAAAAATTGAACAGAATACAATTGTGTACAAAACATCTTAGATACTTTCAAAAACTTTCTCATAGTTGACCAAACTTATGTCAAAAGATAATTTTGAATATATATTCCGAAATATCACAAAATTCTAATTCTAACTGACTGATTTCGGTTCTCAACGGTCATGAGCACGGGTGTACAGTATCAGTTCTCAAAATAGAATTCATCAAACAATGAAAGATTATGATTAGATCAAATTCAGTCAAAAATCAAGGAAGTCATAGTGACAAGTGCTAGTTGTCTTTCATACGAGAATTTATTGAAGTAGTCCATAATATTCACGTGAATATCCTCTATTCAATCTGATTGATATCAACACCTGTCAATAAGGATTTATATATCAACTAAAATAGTCTCGATTGTTCTTCTTTAGAATAGGGTCACATCACAAAATCATTGCTAGATTTCAAATACTTTGCTATGTTACCATGATTTAAAATTGTATATCGAAACGAGACAGAAGTATTACTTTATTTATTTATTTTTATCTTAGGAGAAGAGTACAAACGTCATGCAAATGTTGTTCTTCCTCTCTTTCGTCGCAATAGAGTTGCAAACAATTTAGATATCATCTATGATTGTACCGACAAGTTGCTCGATCGATGGCATTCAAAGATTAATGATCCCAGTTATATTTATTGTGATATAATTAAACAGTGTCAAGAGTTGTTACTGGCAATCTTTGGTTACATTGGTTTTGATTATGATCTAGAAACCTTGACCGACGATGGTTATATTAATAATAATCAGTTGACCAGGTCATTACTCAATTTTTGGAATGTTGTCTCCTTTGCTCTTTACATGCCATCAATTATTGGCAGAATTTACTTGAAATGCAGTCCTCAATATCGGCAAGCATTATCTATTATTCGCAAATATTTTGATCGAATAGTTGAACAAGAACAAAAAAAGACAGAAGAATCGATTGGTGAAAGAAGAACTAATCTAATTGCATCACTCATCAATTCATTACAGGAGAACGAAAAGAAGGAAACGATAAAACCGACAGATAAAAAGAAAGGTGAATTTATGTTTTAATTTCGCTAAAACTATCTTTTTTCATATTGAAAAACTATTATTCTTTTATTTAGGATTATCGCATGATGAAGTGTTTGATGAAATGCTTTTGTTTCTCGTAGGTAGTTACGAAACAACATCAGCTGCATTAGCATGGTTTATTCATCTAATGAGTAAAAATCCTCGTGTACAAGCAAAAATTAAAGCTGAACTAGGTGATAACAAACAACACCGTCTCTCTATTGAACAACTTGAATCTCTTGAATATTTGAATTGTGTTATTCAAGAAGTACTTCGTTTTGCACCACCTTCAATTTCCACTATACGTAGTGTAACTATTGACGATCGATTACCGGCAAGTGGCATTCAATTGCACAAAGGCGATGAAATTTGGATTAATATCTTTAATTTAACTCGAGATAAACGCTATTGGAAGATCGATCCAGATCTATTCTATCCTGAACGATTTCAAAGTGAAGACAAAGATCATCATCCATATGCATTGATTCCATTCGGAAGTGGTCATCGACAATGTATCGGACAAGTTTTAGCTCTATTAGAACTGAAAGCAATCGCTGTCAGACTAATGCAACATGTTACTTTTGGTGATGGTGGTCTCGAAGTCAATGCAGGTGGATTCAACGCGAAAGGTATACTCATACCAAAGAAAATTGGTGTGACAATAACTTTCGACTAATGTTCAATACACTTCGGATATTTACTTTATCATCACAAGAAGAAAAGAAAATTATTTATATAGATTCTCATCCCATGTCTTCTGTAGAAGTTTATGTCCCTTTCAGTTTATTTTCATGTTTTCAAGTAGTGTCTTATTCTTATGATTTTATTTATTGTTTCAAATACTTATATCTAGATGACAGTTGAACGATTATCAACGAAAAGTAGTCGAAGTCATTAATTATTCTACAACTGTATGATATAACGAGCCTTGTACTAATAAAAGATTACTACTTTAGTGAAAAATAAAAGTAAAATGTAGATAAACAATTTTTTATTGTTATCCATTGAGGAAACCACACATAAGTTGTCAACGACAAAAATGACATTTAAAATTAAATTTTATTATGAGTGAAAACGTAAACTTGAACCCATAAGCGGAGAATTTCTACTGTTAAAATGCTTTTAATCTTTTCAGAACAGGTGATCACTAACTGTTTTTGAACAGAGAGATATATTATGTGTTCACAGAATACACAATATATCTCTCTGTTTAAAAAGAGTTTTTCAATGAAATGGGACAAAAAAATTATTAAGTGACTTTGTCGAAAATTCTCTTACCACTAGTGTCCATCACTCATTCACTAATTTAAAGTTGGGTTCAATCGATTTCAACATCAATCTTGTTTGATTCAACAAAAAAACCTGTTTGTAGAGATTGAAAATTTTGTTTTGATGTCCTTTTCGACGTTTATTTGAGAGTATTAGCCATCTATCAAGCCAAGACATTCTCATTGATTCAATGTTGACAAAGGATTTATTCTTTCTCAGTACAATCAATCGAAATCAACGTTGAATTTCTTTCTTCACATACCAATCATCATGTGCAAGTGAAGATCTCAACAGAATTAGATAATATTCCTCGAAATATTTGGCCAATAATGGAACATCGTGTGCGAGCGATTCCTAATCTAGTCAAGTTTGATCTTCTTTTTTGAATCGACTGTCATCCATCGATAAAAGACTTTTCAAATCTGATTGACAACCAATATTCGTTGATCATTTTCATTACTTTGACTTTTGACTAAAGACGATGGTAAAGCTGAACGAAACAAAAATACACTTTTAGGAATGCTTGACTCTCTGGAAATATTTTCCAAAGCGTTAATGATGAAAAAGATAAGAAATTAAATGAAATTTTCCAGTATTCCTCTAACAATCATCATTTCGAATTCGATCAAATTTTCAAATCAAAAAAGGAGAACTGACTCGTTGCATTCGCTTTCGAACTTTGAAGAGCGATGAAATCGAGTAATGTTCTTGCCATCAAATTTATTTGACCTGCAATATCTAACAATTAAACACTCGATCTAAGCAATTGACCGATAAAAGGTCCACACCTTGAAATGATTCATGTCTAAGTATCCAATATATGGAAAAAAAGAACTAAATGTGATGAGATCAGATGAAAGAAAAAAAACTCTATACGCATTGAATGATAACAATTGAAGACAGAATGAGAATGAACAGAATATAGGAAATGATTTATAACATAAAATAAGAAAGAAAAAAGATAACAAAGCATGAACACATCAGAGTAAAAGGAAAAATGAAGTACAAGAACGAAAGAGAAAACAGCAATTGAACAAAGTTAGCATTCAAAATAATCAAAAATATTTGCTTTTTCAATTGAAACAAAAACTCTTCTGGTATTTCAATTAGATGGATTGATATTTTCGATTACTATGATAAAATAAATCCATGCTTGTTCACTAGAAAAAAAATCATTGTCAGAAACGTTTGAATTACATATAACAAATACACATGATGATTGGTCATGTTGCTTTTAGATTACAGTTGAACAAAAACGTTGTTGCAATAGATTGATAAACTATCCAATTATTGTACTGCATAGTATTCTCGACCTTAAAATATAATCGTTGTGTCATTATCAATGTAATATTCAACGCCAACGACAACTTCTTGAGCACCATTTCTAAATATATTATAGCGATAACAAAGGCTTTTGTACGACAATAGTTGTAATAGAGGACATCTTTCAATTTATTGCATACAAAAGACTACAATAGAAAAAAGAAAATTTTTATTATGAACTTGATATCGAAGGACTATAAATTTCTCCATAGTAATTTTTGTATCAATTATAATTAGGAATTTGTTTTGAAATAGAAAAAAAAACATAAACAAAAAGTGGTGTTAGAAGTTTAGGGTGTGGAGTGTAGATGTGGGTGTGGGTGGTCGTATGCTTCTGTTGTTCGATTGCACTCAAATACCCACACCCATATTATACTGGAATAGAAAAGCAACAAAAATATTTTCGGAAATACATCGACCCGGTCTGTGACGATCCAAATTTTGAGGTTGACGGACGAAATTTAGTTTTCAAAACCAACTGATTTTTAGATGTAGGTGTGGATGCGGGTGTGGGTTGGGCATAAGTGAGAATTCCGACCTTCTCTTTACTCACACTCACATCCATATCCCATAAACCATTAAACCTACAATTACAACTGTACTGCCAATCATGTCATCGAAGCAGCAAACATCTGCCATACCAATAATAGAATTCTATCCACGTGTCGACTAAAAGGGTACAAAACATTGGTTCTACTGCATAAAAATACAATCCTACTAGGAATGCGGAAAGAGAAGTAGTCATGAAAACAACTGCACAAGGATCTGCGTTCTTTAAAAGAGAACTTGAGCTCTGCACTGAAGTGAACATTATTGTTTATGTTTAAGATTTATTGAACAAATTGCTGGTGAGTCGAATAAAGAGAATTACATTTAATTTAGTTTTATTCTCTGGTAATAATCAATTATTGTACTAACGGATGGGACCATGATCATATCTGTTGTGTTTTACAAACATTTACAGAATGAAAATTCTAAGATGCTTAAAATTTGTCGAATCGAATTTTTCATTCTCCTGCCTTTTGAACTTTTCTTATTGAAAATTTTTGTCAGCCAAGTTCCATCATTAGCTTATTTAATTTTATTCAATAACAGATAAGCAAAAAGCGTGCTCCATATAAGTTTTTTTCGATGGTTATCAGCAACATCATAACAAAAATTGACGAAGTATCATCTGCATAGGATTCAACGGTATATAGATAAATAAAATTTATATTAGAAGAGGATCAGTTTCTTTGCTATCTAGTAATAGTTCTTGATCAAGATCGTGATTGTCTTTTGTTGTTGATTTCATATTTGCTAACGTTCGAAGATATTCAGCTTCGGCAATACCTGTTTGTTCGACGAGTAAAGCAAAATGAGAGGTAGAATTCGAGAGAAGAACTTTAGGTAAATCGAATTCGAGCAATTCACCATTACCAAGAACCTTCAAGGCAGATGGCATTGAAATCAAAAAAATTTCAATTTGAATTATCCTACCAGAATACGATCACTATCGATCACTGTTCGTAAACGATGAGCTATAGTGAGAACTGTACATTCTTTGAATTTTTCACGAATAGCGCGTTGAATCAATTCATCAGTGCTAGATATTATATTTCATTGATCAATAAATTTAATGAAGATTTATTTTACTTACACATTATCGACATTGGCAGTAGCTTCATCGATTACAAGAATTTTACTCATTTTTAAAATAGCTCTTGCTAAACATACGAGTTGTTTTTGTCCAACACTCAAATTTGAACCACCTTCACTCACTATAGAATGAAGTCCATTTGACATTCCATCGGCAACTAATGTTTTCAATTGTACCTTAAATAAGTTTAAGTTAAGAATTATTAAATAGAATGTACCATAAAGACCTGTTCAAGTGCACGCCAAATTTCAGCATCAGAATATTCATTGAATTGATCGAGATTACTTCGCATAATACCTGTAAAAAGAACAGGATCTTGTGGAATGATCGAAATACGACGTCGAACATCATACAAACCAACTGTTGCAATATCAATATTGTCGATTTTAATGTGACCATTAACAAGTGTTCCCATACAAAATAATGTTTGAATCAATGAACTTTTTCCAGCACCTGTTCTTCCAACAATGCCCACTTTTTCACCAGCTTCAATTGTCATCGAAAGATGACGTAGAGCAAGTGACGATTGATTATCAGATGAATGAGACATGGAAACATTTTCGAATACGATTCTACCATGCGATGGCCAATTTGATGGTGGTCGACGATTTGGTGAAACTTGTGCTGGAGGTTCTTGGTCAAGAGAACAATAGTCGAGTACACGCTCGACTGATGTCATTCTTGTTTCCAAATAAACTGATAATCTACAATAATTTGTGATCGAAATCAGATTTATTCCTTTAGTCATTTACCTAATCGTCCATTGTAGAAGTCCCATTAGATTGAGACTATAAGAAAGTGTCATAGCAATATCGGCAGTTGAAAAATGTCGATATCCAGTGACGCGTAGAATCATTGAAAGTATTGTAACCAGAGCGATAAAACTAAATGCAACCCAATCGAAGCGAAGTGCAGCCCAATGATTAGTAACATTGATAAGATGATTTGCTCGTGTATTATCATCAAGATGAGAGAAAAATTCAATCGAACACATGCGTTCTGCATGATAGGATCGAATTACTTTAAGACCATGAATAGTCGATGTCAAATAAGAATAGACAGGACTACGTGTAATACTTTCAAGTCGTCTCAAATCACGAGAACATGGTGCATAGTAGTAGCGTACAAATAATAAACCAATGAGTGATATCCCAGGCAAGCAAAAAAAAGAGAAGACTGGCGACATGTCTAGTCCAAAACGTCCGCAACAGCCGTCCTGTCTAGTCTAAAATACTGAGTGTGGCCGTCAGGACTGGTCAGTATTTTAAAAAGCGACATACTAACAGAACTAGACTAGTCTGAGATATACTGAGGACTAGTCAAGTCTAGTCCCAAATATTTGGTGCCGGGGTCAGGACTAGTCCCAAGTATTTGGTGCCGGGGTCAGGACTAGTCCCAAGTATTTGGTGCCGGGGTCGGGACTAGTCCCAAATATTTGGTGCCGGGGTCAGGACTAGTCAAGTCTAGTCCCAAATATTTGGTGTCGGCGTCAGGACTAGTCAGTGTCTTATGAGGTAATATAATGACGGGACTGGACTAGTCTAATAATTTTGAAATACATGTCTGGACTAGTCTGAGAGATCCTGAGCACCAGTCAAGACTGTCATGTTTTACTAGAAATGACATGCTGTCTGAACCAGACTAGTCTGAAATTCAGTATGACATTTTACATTGATAGTTGGTTATATCTTTAATACTTGTCAAGTCTAGTCTAATTACAGAAACCTAATGTAATTTTGAGTTTGAACTGGTTACTTGTTTATGAAAACTCTTTGTCACCTTCAATTCAATACATATTAGTACGTATACATAACCTAAGGGTAACAAAGTTACAAACTTGCATTATGAAAAACACGACTGTTTAATTATCTAAGATTCTACAATGGTGTAGTTTATTTATCGATTATCAGTTATAAAAATTGTTTTATTAATAAGGAAAATTTATTAAATTTGAAATGTTAAAAATCATTAACTTCGATTTGTCTCTATCTTTAACTGTTTTTATCATATAGAACAGAAAAAATGAAAACAATTGTTATTGTCATATTTTCGTTATCATAAGATTACTGTTCATTAAATTATAAATTGTATGAATTTTCGTCAACAATATTATTAATTTAATCAGTCATATTTATAAAGAAGAAAAAATTTATTTTTATTTGATTGTATATAGAACATCTGAGATTGATGATTGAATCACTAGTTTATCTCATTGATTCTATAATTTTTTTTGTCGCGTATTCAAGCGACACCTGATCAAATATTTACACACATATCATTGGTTTCACCATAGAAACAGCGCTCTCTTTAACTATCTTCTTCTTCGCCCTCTTCTAAACATATATAAAGAACATTCCACAAAGATCTGTTTTGTTCGTGGCTTAATATGAAGAATGTTTAAAATAAAAAAAATATGTGAATCAATTTTTCTAACGACTAGACATGCATTATTGAATACAAGACTTCGTTTATTATATACGATTGTGTTTGTTCGTTAGAGGATGTGAATCGATTTTTTTTGTTTAACTTTTTTTCATTTAAGATTTCTAACGAACGTTATGTCTTTTAATGTATTGTATTGCTCTTTTTTCGTAGATTATCAATTAATTTCATTGTTCTAAAAATGCCAAATCATGTTGAAACAGCTTCTCATTGCTTGGTTCGATGGGAAGATGATGTCAATCAATTTGCAATTGTTGATACAAAACGATCAAAATCAGTATCTCCATTAAAAATTGGTCTCACAACCTGTTTTGAAGGTTTTCAACGTGAACGTCGTCGAGGAACAATTCTTTTTTTAGGTAGATTTTTGCATTCCTTATACTTATTTTCAAAAATCATTTTCTGATATTATCAAAACAATAGACTTTTTTTCACAAAATTGCAATTTAGAACATCAAATTTCATGTATCTACACTTTGATTAAATTTTTTATTTATTTTCTAGGTTCTAAAAAAGATTGTTGTGTTTATGGACTTGATTTAGCTGATGATGATAGACATGTGAATATGTATCAATGGAGTGCTCCTCCTGGTCTTCGGGAAGAATCAGAAGAAATTGTTCAAACAATTCGTCAGAGTACTTCTTCATTTAAACGAACAATATCAACCATGTCGTCATCATCATCGAGTTCAACAACAACAGGAACAAAACAAAAGAAAAAAAAGGTTATCAATAACAATCCAAACGATGACGGACCAACAACAAAAGATAAATCGATGCCACCACCTCCATTAGCATCAACAATAACAATATATGATACGTTTAATGCATCTGATAAATGTGTTAGTGAAGGTCAACAATCAAATTCAAATAATAAACATCAATCATCTTCACTTGTTACCTCAAATTGTTCAACAACAAATTCAATAACATCATCATCAACAGATATTAATAGTTTACTCGAAGAAATCAAAGTTTTACGTGAAAAACTTTCATCTATGGATAGTTTAGTTGAAGAGAATAAAAATTTACGTGAAAAAATGTTATCCATGCAAGATGAAATGTTCTATTTACATAATACTTTAATAAGCACGTGTTGATTTGCATTTGATCTTCTTTCTCAACATGTCCTTTGGTCAATAATACTTAATTATTTATTTTTAGGTCTACCGGATGAACACACGTACAATTATCTTAAATCGATAATTGCTACATATGAACAAAGAAAAGCCGAATTAAATGAGAAATCGATCAAGGTAAAATAAAAAACGAATTATTTCTGGAAGAATCTTTTTTTTTTAGTTAGGAGAAAAACTTCCTTGCTCAAAAATTGAATTGAAGGAAGCAAAAAATACTAACTCGTCAAGAACTATCAACAATTTGATTAAATGTTGCTATAAAGGTGTTGATTTAAAAGGTCAAAGTTACACAAAATTGAAAGCAATAAATCCTGAATTAATGGATAATATTTATAGTATGTCTTATTTTTCTATACTGGAAAAAATTATTTTAACTTGATTACGTTGTTTATTTTTTATTAAATAGAATATGTTCAATATGTTCATGCTCCTAAAATCATTACACAAGGCGAATTTTCTGGTGCAATTTCGCTTCGTAGTCGACATTTGGTTGATCAAGATAAAAATAAAGAAAATTCATCAACAGCTTCGACAAAGAAGCAGCACCAGAAATATTTGAAAAACAAAAAAAATACTGAACATCAACAACGTTTATCTTCACCAAAAGAAGTTTTAGTGGAGAACTCCGATTCTGAATGACCATACAAATGATGCTTTTTATTCTTATTCAAGAACATTTGATTAGAATATAGTTTTCTTTTAAAAAAGCATTTGTTCTGATTGATTAAATTGTTGATTAAAAATTAGGATTAGATGATAAATAAAACTAGTGATTTAGACAAAAAAAACCTGTTGTATAAGCTGTTTTAATGGCAAAGATTTTCTTGTTTCATTATTCTAATATTGAAAAAAAATAATTTCTTAAGCTAACCGAGAAATTAATTCTCATAGATTGTCAATAGTCTTTTATTAACAGCATCAAATTGTACTGCTTCATTGAAATCGGAAAAAAGAATTGTAGTATGCTGTTTTGTAGATGCCTTCTCCAGCTACACATTATCGTCGCAGAAATAATCTTCTGCGTAAAAATTATTGGAAAACAACAATTTTACCATCCAATCTATCAAAGAAAAGTAAGAAAGTCGTCATTAGCTATTATTTTCTTGGTTTTAAATAGTATTTCTGTTAGGTACTACTGATACGTCGGATGCTCAACAATTACCTGCTGAACAAATTGGTATGATAGGGTGTTCTATTGTTCTAGTTACTTATAATATTAACTCAAAAACTTCAGTAGTCTTTTGAATTTTCTTCAGAAACTCTGAAGGTAATAACCAGTTCATATATTAACATGTTTCTTTTTTAGATTCAACAGAATTAAATTCTGCAACAGTAATAACAAATAAGGATGATTTACACGATTCTTGTAAATCAATCAATGATTTATCACCTAGTAAGTATTTTCTTGGTTCAGATCTCATTCATAGAATATTTATAGTACGATGAAGGAGAATTTTTTTTGTTTTTCTTTAAAACAATTTTTTTGAAATTTACAACTATCTACAGTACTCGCCATAAGTGGCCGCGAACTCTTTTTCTTGCTCAACAATGACTTTTATTTTATCTTTTTGCTTTGTTTGAACGGGCTAGTCGGACTCATCATCCGGTATAAATAAGAACATTTGTATTCATTCTGTTATCAATTTATAACTCAATAGAAAATGAACCTTTTTTTTTAAAGAAAAAATGAGAAATTATCTTTCTATAAAGGTAGAGCTATTCCCCACATATGTCATATGGTGATATTTCACAGTATCTATACGAATCAGTAAGTAATTGTAAACTGTAGGCTTAGAAGGTATGAAATAGCTGGTGACGTATAAGTTGCACAAAAATCCGGTCTATACCGGAAAAACAATACGCAACAATTCAATCCATGGTAGCTCAACATTCAATCGAATCTGTTGGTCAAATTGCGTTTAGAGTATCACAGAAAGATATAAAAATTAGTAAAACCACATTAAGAAGAAGATTTAAAGAAACTGGTGTACATTCAACGAGACCGGCCTCGAAACCATTGCTAACAAGTGACGATATTTTAAAAAAGACCCCAGCAGAATATAAAACTCAAAGACTGTAACCCAAGTGAAAATGTCTGGGCATTAGTGAAGCTCAGAATAAAAAAAGAATCGTGTATATCGATCAATAATTTCATTGAAAGAATAAAAAAAAGAACGGAGAAACTTAGCTATTGAATTTCCTGAAAAATTAGGCAATTCTATGGAAAATAGAGTAGCATTGTTAATTGAAAGAAAAAGCCATTATATTAGTTATGAGGATGATGCACATACAATGTACATTTCATAATTAAAATATAACCAAATAACTCCTTTGTCTTCCTCGCTTTTTCAATCGCGGCCACTTATGGCGATTACTGTATATTTCATATTTATTAGCATATATTTTTTTCTAGCATTTAATCGTCGTTTTTTACTAACATCTCGTGATATTGTTGCTGCTGTTATGATTTATAAAGTTAGACGTTTACAAAACAATAAAGATATTGATTCACTTTGTAAATTATTTAATGCTTTGTCTGTGAATCTATTCCCAAAGAGTATGAAAGCTATTCAACGACAGCTTCATCCAGATTTTGATTTAAATAAATTTTACAAATTTTACAGAATATGTTCCAATTGTGGTGCATATGATTCAAATTCTATGTTTAAATGTAAATCTTGCAATGATGCATTAATATTCAAATTTTATTTATGCTCTATCAAACAACAAATTCAACAATTATTATCAATTTTTGGTTTTTTCACTAGATTAAAAGAAGAGAAAATTAACAATATTAATTTATTCTCAAGTACTAAATATGGAGAAATTCTCCGAGAAATAGAAGTTAATGCGTTTACATTGATGATTAGTTTTGATGGAGTATCTACTGGAAATAAAAACTTATCATTATGGCCATTTACTATGATATTTAATGAGTTACCAATTCCAGAGCGTCGATATTTAGAAAACATACTTATAGCTGGTATCATACCAACCGGAAAAAAACCAACTAATCATGTTGTTCAAACATGTTTACAACTTATATATGAACAGTTAATTACATTAGAATTAGGACAAGAATTTTTTATAAATGATCTTGATCAACGAGCAGTTATTCATTTTTATAATATAGCAAGTTGTACAGATAAACCAGCTGAAGCATTAATGGCAAATGTCGTTCTATACAATGCTGAATATGGGTGCCCTAAATGTTTTCATGCTGGTATGTATTTTCATTGATATTTGTATTCTATTAATCATCTTACAAAATATATTGAAAAGTAAACCTTAATAAAAAATTTCAGTTATTTATATTGTTGGTGAATTTGTTGTAAATAACTTATTTTTATAGGTGAATTATATCATGGTCAAAGAGGATCTGGTGCTAATGCTGTTACCTTTACAATACGTGTTTATCCATTTGTTGATTGTGAGCTTCGTACACAAGAAAAATACATTCAAATCGTTCAACAATTAACTAATCGTTTAAAACCAATCAATAATAATTCAAGCTGTACCAAAAAGAAAACTGTATCGAAAAAAACGAAAAAGAGAAAAGAGAAAAAAATAGCTCATTTTGGTCATCTTGGTAAGATTTTCTACAATATTAGTTGATTAAATATTATGATCAGTTTTTTATCGAAAAATAGTTTGAGAGTAAAAATTGACAGTATCAAAAATATTAATTTAATAACTTAAAGCTTTTGAATCAGTATTTTTCGAACAGAATTTCATACGAAATAAATTATCTTTAATTATGACAATTTGAGCTCCGCAATATAATCCAGAAGAAACATATGAATAGTTTTCGTTACTGTTTGAGTTTAAAAAGAATAATATAATTTTTTTTTTTTGACAGGTTCTTGTCCATTAACCAAATTAAAATATTTTCATTATGGAACATCTTTTCTCACGGATTCTCTTCATACAATATATGCTGGTGCTTTCAAACAACTTTTACATCTTTTATTTCATTCAGAATATCGAAATAAATCTTGGTCTTTATTTACGAAAATAACACAAATAGATGAATCATTAACATTGGTACAAACTCCATCAACAACACAACGTAGATTTCGTTCATTGAAATTTATTAGTAAATATAAAGGAAGTGAATATCGATGTTTATTTCATTTTGGTTTAACAAGTCTTGTTCGACATATTAATGATAATGGATTGAAAAATCTATTATTTTCATTCGTGTCAGCAATTAATCTTGCATCTTCGAATTATGTAACAGATGAAACTATTGAAATTGTTGAAAAATTATTACATTATTTCGTTCAACGTTTTGAAGAAATATTTGGTATACGTCATATGAGTTCAAATATCCATTCTTTATTACATGTTCATCAAGGTTTAAGTGTAATGGGGCCATTATGGTTTTATTCAACATTTTCATTTGAAGGTAATCGTATAATTTTTTTTTTTGTTTTTTAAAATTTTATTCATATTTTTTTATTATAGGTATTGACAAAGATTTGGTTAGTACAGTTCATGGTACAACTGAATTTGCTAAACAACTTATTCGACAACATATTTTATATCGTGATTCTCTAGTTCTTCATAAACATGAATCTTATCCATTGATATTGTTTACATTCAATGAAGAATTACTTGATCGAAAACAATCAAATATTCATTATAAAAATTTTGTTGACTCATGTTTTTTATCTAATCCTGTATCTAAAGATTTATATGATACAAGTGAAAATGGTATAGCTACACGTGTACAATCACTATTTAATGATGATTTAATTTTCTATCATTCTTTGATAATATCAGGTGTTTTAATAAAGACTACTGTGACTGCTTACGGAAAATTAGTTGCTGACAGTTGTATCTCATTCAGTTTTGCCGATGATCAAGTAAAATATGGTCTTATTCGAGCAATTGTTCAATCAAAAAAAAATACCGTTCGTCTTTTCATCGAAGAACTTGTGGAAATTAAATCTGGAGCATCAAAAATTAAATTTAATATTTCTAATGATCAATATCAAGTACCTAATATTTTACGATTAAGACCATCAACAATTTTCCATCTGAAGCATCCAAAATTTATCTTAAAAAAAAATGCTTGTATATGTGAACCTGGTAATCGTGTTACTGTTTTAGAATATCCTAACTTAAAAGACAATAGTTAACAGATAAAAATCATTTTTATTATTAATAAAAATAAATTGTTTCTTTAAAAAAACTTCTCAAATCTAGTTTTCTTAATATAATCTTCTGAAGTAGTGCTTCTTGTAACTAGTAATTGGAACTTTTGATTTGTATTGATATACATCATTAAATAGTTTCTTTGTACATGAATTAATAATTCTTATTAAATAATATTATGAACTTCTCTGATCATTAATGTGTGAAAGACGTGTCAGGAAGAGCTAGATGTGTCACTGATGAAATACCAGCATGTATGGTTCAACTGCTTGCCAAGCTAGGTATGTAACACAAAGTATGTATGTTCGAATCTAACCTTCACCGCTTTGCTTCTATAATTTAGACTAGTCTGGACGCCAACATCTGACTGACAAAAGAACGGATTTCAGACGGTATGAATGACTAGTAGTTGTGTAATGTGTAGCATGTAGTTAGCAATATGATCGACATGCACATATATATTTTTCAATTTTTAAATATATCGGACGGGTGTCATGACGGACCGTCAGGACTAGTCCGGAGACGACAAGAGGAGATACGAGACCATATATTTTTGTGACAGACTGGCGTCATGTTGCCGTGTCTTGACTAGTCATTCCCTTAAAAAGTGACCCCACATGACTAGTCTATTTCAACAACTATTACTAGTCTGGACTAGTCCTTTTTGTAAAACTGACTAGACTATATTGAAATACTGACGCCCGTCTCTGGGCTAGTCAGGACGCGGCGTACGGACTCCCAACAATATCAGACTAGTCATGTCTAGGTCGTTTTGAGAAAAAGACTAATGAGTGACGGGGCGTCATGACTAGTAAAACTAACTAGTCTTTTTACCCGTCTTTTGCTCTCCTGGGATCACTGCCGGTATAAATGACCATGGATTAAGCATACCAACTAGAACTACTGTGCCTAGAACTAGAAAGCAACACTAAACAACAGAACAATGTAAACAAATGAGAGACTTTAATAATTTACGTACGTTGAGAAATTCATATATATCACCCGGTAGTTGATCATCCATGGTAGCTACATCTTTAGTGAAACGATTCAATATTCGTCCTAAAACAATAAATACAGATACGATCACGAATATTTGTCTAAGTTTAAAATACAGTAAGTCACCTTTAAAGATGTGACTATCTTTTTCTTTTTCCATATAAACATTCTATTCAAATCTATTGACATGCGTTCAATTTTAATTTTTCACTGTTGAAATACAACTTTGCTCATTGAATGGGACATAATGAAACTAGAATATTTTTGTGCGAACTTAACAGAGATATCTCATAAAAGATTGAATAATCTAATTTCTATTTAAGGTTTTATCTATCCTTCATATCTTGGTACGGTGCACGAGTCTAATAAGACGGTCATAGCCAGGAAAGAAAGTCCTAAGAGCAAGAATCTTTTTCTAATCTCGGTAGGTTCTCTTTAATAGTATAAATCTTCTTTCAAAAGCAATGAATGATTTGAGAACGTTGTTTATTATAAATCTAAGTCATTTTGCAAGAGTTCAAAATAGTTTCATTCGATACAAAAAAAATTTTCTCTATCGGAATCTACAACAATTTATTGACGCATCCATTTTCATATCAGAATGGCTTTTCAACTCGATACATAAGTGAATCAATTCTTTCTATTGATATCATTTCTGAATTAAAAATTTATAGAAATTCAGCTAGTTTGGTTCATAGTATAATTCGGTTTTTCTATATATGATGGCTCGTTAGTATTTTCCAGATCACTCATTCTGAGCGATAGGATCAGTAAAATAAAATCATAAAAAGTCATTCAATACTCATAAATATACAAAAAAGAAATGAAAATTTATTTTCCTACTATTTCACTTACCAACAGGATTTGTGTCAAAGAAAGCAATAGGACATCGGATCAATCGTCGGAACATTCTAGTCAAATTAATAAAAAAAGCAATTAACATAGAAAAAAATCATATTGAAAATAAATATTTACCTGTTGTGAAGTACTCGACCAGCATTTAAAAACATGAAATCAGTGATTATTGCACGGAAAAAAGATATAAGTACAAGAATGAATACAATTACTAAATATGAATTCAAAATATCAAAGAATATGATCATTAATTGAATACAAACCACAATAGATGTAAAATCGTCGATTTCGATGATTATTCCATTCTGTATTACTCATTGACCATACCGTATTATTATTGTTATTTTGAACAGTTGTACAATTGTTTAAAATTCGATATCGATAACTTTCATCATCACTCCATTTTGCTAACCACCAATTACTAAATATCGATGTTCCTTCTCGTACAGATGGTAGAATTATGACGATGAACAAGCCCATAATAATACCAACACCAGCTTTTAAATATGCAACATATACATGAGATTTGACTGTACCCTTATGTTTTGTTTCAACATTTTTCAAAAGTGCCAACATTTCTTCATCATCATTCGAACATGTCGAACTAATAATTGATTGTTGTTGATAAAGTTCAATAGATTGTTGCTGTTCAAATTGATGAATATCATCAAGTAAACGAGCAAATGATGTTGACGAAGCAAGTAGATCAGTATAACTACCAATTTGTATCATTTCACCCTGAAATAACATTCGATAATTCTCTGAAAAAAAATTCAATCAATTACAAATTATACATTATTGAGTACAATAATTTTTGTTGCATCTTGTAAGAATTGAATTTGATGTGTGACTAATATACAAATCTTGTCAGCAAGATAATTTTTGATAGATCTATGAGAAAAGACTAATTACTAAATCTCAATATTATATAAAATTGATTTACTTTTGAAAGAGATGTTTAGCTACTTTAGCATCGACAGCAGATAAAGGATCATCCAGAAGATAGATATCTGCATTGCGATAAAGTGCTCGAGCCATATTAATACGTGATTTTTGACCCTATACGGTTATCAGCATACTACCTTAAATTTGTATCAAACAAATGTATTACTCACTCCAGACAACATAACACCTTGATCACCAACAAGAGTATTTTCTTCATTAGGTAATTGAGTAAAATCCTATTTTATTATAAATGTATATATGTCAAAATATTTGATTCTACATACTGTATCAAGTGCAGTTGCTTTAACAACCTTATGAAATAAATTTCGATCATATGCTTTGCCGAAGAGAATATTTGTTTTAATAGTTGAAGAAAATATCCCTAATTCAAAAATCAAAGAGAATATTTTTCTTATATAAATCAATATTATTTACATGATTCTTGTGATACATAACAGAATGAACCATGCATTCGAACTTTTCCATCGAAAATTGCAATTTCACCAGTGAGTGTTTGCAAAAGTGAACTCTATAGATGAATATTTATGAATATTAATTTTTGACAAAATGAACAGACCTTTCCAGCTCCGACAGGTCCAATGATACAGATCAAATCACCTGGATGAGCATCGAATACAATATTTTTAAGACAAAATGATCCATTCTAAATAGTAGAGAATATCAATTTCAATTTAGCTCTTCAAATTGCGACTAATTCAAAAGTCGAAACTATTGCTTCATCCATTCATTTATGTGTGTAGTATCCAAGAGGGAAAGTGTAGGTTTGGAACTTCCAGCGCCTCAACATCTTTTGATACTGAAAGTTAGTAGTGGTAGGAATGTACAGCTCATATTCGAGACAGTTATTTCTCAGCTATTGTAAAAACAATCCTGGGGTTACTCAGGTCCTCTTTCATCTGACTCGAACATCAGTGTGTTTTGTTCTTATAATAGCTAAGAAACAGCTGTCTCGAATGTAACTTGGTACATGGTACCTGTACTTTCCTCCTTGGTAGTAGTTCAACAGCTAAACTTTTTTTGAAGGATTTTTGATATAAGAAAGATTAAAATATCCATTATACTATAATAAAGCACAATTGTCTGTTCCTTTTATTCTGGGTCAATGGTAGAATTTGGAAAATAAGAGTTTTTTTTACAACTCCTTAAGTCATCGATTTTTCCTGGCATCGGTGTTGCAGCCTGCGTGCGAATTCGACAAAGAGCATTGATGAAGAAATCGTCAGTATAAGAGCCTTGGACTAAATCTGTTAAATGTTGAAAAAATTTTGTCATTTAAATGTCCGTTCAATAGAAACTGAAGTGTAGAAAATAAATTCTGCATCCTTTTGCATTATATTAGGATAGCACAAACTAAAATCAAGTCACGAATTTGTATCGAATTCTAACAAAATTTGACAAATGAATTACTGTTCATGATATATTATGGAAATCATTGTAATTTTCAGACACAAAACTCTTGACTGTTCTTTATTGTCGTACGGAGAAGTAATTATACCTTTTCCCATTGTGCTTGTTTCAAATTGCATATAACTTTTGGTGATTGTATTGGATTATTCTTCACTATTGACGATTCATTGTTTTCGATGTATCCAAGTTCGGAATGTGATCGAGACAATAATCGATTGTCTCGTTCGGATTCATCAAGTAAAAGAAATGTCTATGATGAATATTATTTTATAAGATTCATCGATAAAAGTGCAAAAAAAACTAACCTGTATTCGTTTCTGAGCAGCCATATAATGAACAAGAGCTTTCACAGCAAAATTAAAAAAATCAATAACAATCAATCTCATATGACTAAGCAAACAGGATGCAACTGCAAAGAAGCGTATATCAAATCGAATATTGAGCCACCACATTGTTCCATACATCATCAAAAATGTTACATTGATATATGTATGTGAGAAGAGCATTTGCACACAGTCGAACAATAAACAATACATGTATTGTATAATTTCACGTCTAAAAATATGCAATTTAATAAGTTAGTACGATAATAGGAAAGTTTACCTTCTCACATGACGAATCTTTTTATCAAATGCCATTTCCCAACAATACATTTTAATAATACGCATTGATTTAATTATTTCAGACATAATCTTTACACGTTGATCTGTTACTTGTAAAATATTATTTCTACAATGAATATAAACAGTCATTAAGAAAGTCATACTTTACAAATTTGACAAACCGAAAATGAAGTATAAAACGACTGAAGATTATTTGAATAACCAGAATTACAAGTGTATAGCTGATAGCAATTAAAGAAACTTGCTTGATATAATACCAGAATAGTAAGATCAGAATAAAAACTTCAAGTGGAGAGATCTATCAAAGACAAAAAAAAAAGAATTATTTGTCTAAGTAGTACATCCCTGATCTTCAGTACGATCCGATAAAGAATCATTGAGAAACAGGAAAGTTTAGTAAATCCTTGACTTCATATTCTAAAAATGTCTCATAAAAGATTATTATTTTATTGAATAACTGACAGACACATATCGCATTATTCAAAACATATGCGACAATGATTGTTTTATTGTACAATATCACGTGTATATCAAGTGACACAAATGTTGTATGGTCACACTCAACTGTTTAATAATTTAATGGAAATCAAGAAAAAAGACTAATTGATTGAAAAATGTCGAGAGAATTTTATTTTATTTCAAGCTCGACTTGTCTATTTAGTCAAAAGTAAAATGTACTCACATCTATCTAATTGTTTACACAGCCCAATGTTGAATCGGATGCTTCTAGGCTTATCTACAGTAGCAGACAAAAGTCTCTGCTCCAGAGGATTGCATTCATTATAAATGCTAAATGCTTAAAAATTGTTGTGCACATACTTCATCAAGAGTGTCACAATTCTACTTCGATTGCCTAAGTACAAAGATAATTATGATGAGAAATTGGAGTTCAGCCTATACTTGTTCTTTACTCAAAAGATGAGTTCATTACTTAAGTATTGTTTCTGAATCTTCCCCCTCATCAATACGACGGTTATAGCAATGTCATTTCTCATTAGTACACAGTTTGATTATAAAACTTGTAAGTACTAATGTACAACTGTAGAGATAGCTTATCTAAAAGTCTGAGGTTCATTAACTGAATTACTATTGCGTTCTCGTCTCAAAAGGACATTAGATGATTTTTCTTTATATCAACAGTCCCTATCATTATTCTCTTTCTGCTTAAGCAATAGAAGAGATTCTCAAGAGCAGAGACTTTTGTCCGCTATTGTAAAATACTATTTTACCCTGGACTAGAAGCCTTTTTTAATATATCAAGAACGAAGCAAAATTTTGAAGAGAAACATAATACTAGACAGAAGACAAACAAATCCATTATTAGTAACGAATAACTAAATTTCTTGAGCCATAAAAGAAGCATTTTTCTTCAATTCAAAAAAGTATATATTTTTTTTGTAGCTGTCTTTAATTAATATAAACATGAATTTGATCTTTTAGATTATTTAAAAAATTTCGACTTGAATAATTAAATGAACTACATAAATAAGATACTTAACAAAAATTGTAAACATACCCATAAATAATTAAAGAAAAGGAGAGTCATTTCAATTTGAGTAGCATCATTCGATAATAGATTAGTAATTTCACCTGAACTAATACTATTAAATGCATGACTCGACAAACGAAGCAACTAATAATTTTAATTTAAAAAATTTAATCGATTATTTCTTACATTTTGATATTTACTTTTCGAAAGATTAGACCACTATAAGCAACACGCATTTGTAAAGCCAAGTTATTATTTAAGTAAATTCCCTAGACGAATACAATGATATAATGTTCATGAAAAAAAAAAGAAAAACAAGACTTACATAAATGACAATAGCACTAGAACAAAATGCTGTAAAAATTGTACTCAAAGCTAGAAGCCAAGCATGCCAAGCTGACATCGTTGAACATGGTTCAAAGAATTTCATCAGAAATGTAAGTAAGAGTGGTCGGATAATATCAAGAAATTCCTATCAAATATGAACTATGAAATGAAAATGATCAATTAGAATATTAGACTTACAGAAGGAATAAGAATAAGACCAATAAGAAATGGTTTCCATCTTAAAGTGCATAATGTAGCTCGAATTAGACTCGGTTTATTAGGATTTCGTTTAGTTTCAGCAAACCAATTTGCTTCAAGTTTATCTGTTAATGCTTCTGCGTCATAATCAGGAAGAAGTTCATAGAGATCGTTAACATCAAGTGTTCCTTGTTTACGACATTTTGAAACCAATGGATATACCCATCTATGGATAGATTAACGTTCTCCGATTGTTTGAACAAACAACAAAGTTACTTACTGTAGAAATAGACGTGAATACTTATTAGCGTTCAACAATGGACTCGGATTTGGTGGCCTTATCGGCATCTGAAATTAAATATTTTTTTTCTTTTCTTTGCATCATCATTTCTATGACCTTGCTTTATTTTTTCTCTCTTATCAGCTTGGAGAAAAATGGTTCTACAGGAAAAGAAAAAAAACAATAATGGAATCTAGCGTTAGTCAATAAAGTGTGCTTTTTTTATATAGAAAAAAAATCACGTACTACTGGTGCTTACTATTAATAAATACCCATATTTTATTGCGAAATATCTTGCGCAAGTTTAGGATCGATGATGAAAAGTTTCGCAAGTACTTTAGCACTTGCCTAAGTAGTTTAACTCAATGTAATATAGATAACATAATGAGTAGATATGATGTAAGACTTCTTTCGAGAGATACTATTCGAATAAGTTCACAAATCTTGCATCATTGTATTTGAATTATCATTCAACGTAGTTTCACACGCTAAATATTTGAACTAAATAATTGAAAAGATTTTCAATAATTAAATTCAAATTTTCAGTTTTGACATATATATACATCAAAGATGTGAAATGTACCGTAAAAAATGAAGCGAGACAGCGCGAAGAATAGCGGGAAATCTAAAATAGCTACAATGATAATTACTGCTATAAAGTCATTTTAGTGAGCAAAGCAATGGCTAGGGGACTATACCTATTGGTAATTGTAGAAATTTCTTTTTATCAATTCTTCTCATATTGGTGGCGTTATAATATTTCTTAAGAAATAGTGTTGATCCGTTTCAATCATAACCTGCTCCGTCACGGATGAGTAAATTAATTAAAAAGTTTGGTCTTCTTCGATGTAGTAAATAGAAGAAGATGGGTCACGGCACCAAATTGTTCGCTCGTAAACGACGAGTTTATATTTCTTTATTCATATTATTCAAGGGTGGGGTGTGGGTGTGCGATGGTATTTTTCTTTTTCTTCGATACCCACACCCCACATCCCACACCCACACGCACACCTCACATCCCACACCCACACGCACACCCCACATCCCACACCCACACCCACACCCCAGTATCACCCTCCCTTCAGTCCAGGGAACTATACGCCACTGAACACGTGAATCTTGACAAAATCATTTGTATACTATCGTAAATTTTACAAAAGCCTACTCTAGACAAAGCAATAAGCTCAGGATGTTCATACACTGAGAAAGCCATAGCAGGATACCTAATTTGAATACTTCGAAAACTCTTAGTAACTATACTGATGTAGGTATCAGAGCTGCTAGCCTGGCCTGCTGCCTAACAGGCAACAGGTCAGGCTAAAGTTCTAAAACCTGAGTATGATTTAATATTGATATTTACAGTATTCAATCCTAAGAATAAGACGACTTCATGAGTCGATGATGATTACCTCTGATATTTTCTGTTGATAATCATGTTAAATCAATGTTTTTATGCGTTTTAAAAGGCTTTTGGCCATGTTTGTTATTACTAACTTTCACTTCCCCGACATTTAGAATTTTTCGATCTCTTTTTAAATTTTCTCCTTCCATGATACATAGCTACAACGATTTCTAGCACTTCTCTGCCACAACTATTTAAAATTGTTCTACTTATTCAATCTCATACTAAGGGAGATCGCATTACTCAGTTAAAGAGTTTCATAGTTCTAATAGCTGCAGCAAATTAGAATAGAATTTACGATTTCATTTAATGAAAATCATGGGAAATTAAATCCTGTCCACTCGTAATATTATTGTATGAATAAAAATCATCAAAATGTAAGATAAGTAGAAGGTTTTAAGCTAGTTTTGAGAAGTTCTTATTCGTATACGTTTGAGATTGGTGATATCTTACATATCAGCAAGTATACAAAATAATGAATATTCTCCATATCTATGTAATTATAACTTTAATCCAAAAAATTTCAAATATTTTCACATAAATTCCTAAATTTCAATATCTACTTGATTAACTACATTTTTGAAAATGTTTCATTTCAGAATTCAGGTCCATATTTATGTATCGAAGATTTTCATAAAATTGATCTCAAAATTGATTTATGAATGTATAGTTAAAGAAAAAGAATTCACTAGCCATTGAAACAAGTTGATATTAATATTTTCTAGAAGATAATAAAAGAGTTTTTGAACAATAAAAAGAAATCAAGACAAAGCACTAACTTTGGTGCTTTGATTATATAACTTAGTATATTCGTAATATGAGTTTTCTGTTTCAATAAGAATCAGACAAGAATCATCTGTACAACAAACGTAATATAAATTTCAATTTTTTTCAAAACATTTGTGGAATACTTATTTAATATCATACTAATGAACATTCCTTAGAATGCTATTCAAGCCTGTAAATTTTTTACTCTGAAGTCTCAAATGATTACTTAATCAATGTTTAACAGCATGAATGACGATCGCAAATGAATAGAAAAAGCATGACTTCTAGCTAGTAAAATTACATTATTTGAGAACATGTTCTTTTCTAATAGTGCTATTGATCTACGCACAAAGATTTTCACATGATTGATGTTTTTTTTATTTTATGAAATCTCAATGTTTATTAGTAGCAGCATTCACATAGAATAATAATTAATAGAACATTTTTGTAGTTATTTCGAAACTGCTTTCAATCAAATTATAATCGTATAGTATTTTTTATTTATCTTTACTTGATACCACTTTCTCTGCATATGATATCATTATTACTAATATCATAAAATATATATACAAGTGTCAGTTATGAGTTTGCATAAGTATACAGGGTGATTCACTTATTTTTACTATTTTATTTCAGTTTATTGTATTTCTATATGATCAGACAGAGCATTGACTACTTTATCCAACGGTATAGTTTTCATTTGTTTTATCACATATCTTGATTAAAAAATATAAAAAATTCTAAAACTAGCTTTAAAAAAACTTTTGTAAATGTATACTTGACTCGGATAAAATTCAATTGTCGCAAAATTAGCCTTAAATGGAAGAGATCCTTCAAACTTAAAGTTGCACCAACTATTGAATGAAACTGTTTTGAATTCGAAGAAAAAATAAAATTTTACTATTGAAATTTTAGACACTTTCACACTACTTCATTCCTGATGTTATCCATATAATCTTAAATTTAGCTATAAGATTTTATAACTAAATCAGGCTAAAATCGCATCAATCAATAGAGAAATTGTTGTTCTAACACACTGTATATTAATGGGAAAGATTGATATAGCTAGATGACAAGAATTTACTCAATAAAGACAAATAGTTGAATTGTTATCAAAAAAAATTGTTAAACATTCATTAAATTTTCCGCAAAGTGGAGAATAAATTGATAAAAAAAATTATATATTTCGATAGAGAAATGAATTCTCTATCTAACTACATAAAAACGAAATATATCCATTTGTCCAATACGTTATAATCACTTAAATTACTCGAATAAAACATCTCGAAGTTCTACAGAAAAACAATTTTTTTTTGCCTGTTTCACAAAACTTACTCATTTTTTAACCAACACATGAGATAAATCAAATGAAAACTATACCGTTGGATAGAGTAATCAACGCTCTATCTAATCATATACAAATAAAAAATTTCAGACGTTTTCTAGAAATACAATAAATTGAAGAAAAGTAGTAAAAATAAGTGAATCATCTTGTATATAGATTCGAACAGAAGAACTCGCTTAAAAACAAATATTGCTAGATGTGTTTATTTCATTTTCTATCGATAAATACTTAAAATATCAAAGTGACAAAGCATAGAATATAGAACATTATTTTATTCAATCTATTTTGACTAATAAAATTTTCTTTCCATGTTACTAGAAAAAGTATGTATCATAAATCATAAAAATTATGTTTATTTATTTTTTTCATTATTGTGAGTAATTATTCAGTTAATATTGATGATTATCAGTTTAACTCTTCCCACAAGAATCTGTTCGTTCCAACTAATCAATATGTTGTTTTATAAAGTTTATAAAATAGTTTATCCAGAATTAATCCTTCTATGGAATTATAATCGAGATGGTTTCTTGCTTACAAAATCATTGACTAATAAAAATATTATGGCGCACTTTGGATAAAACACGTTTTATAATGTTAATGTATGATGTCAGTAAAAGATAGATTATATTTATATTGCCATCGATCATTCAAATTAATTTCAGCGGATATGAATTACTGAAAGCTTGCACACAACTGAAGTATGTGCTGAAATACTTCGCTATGAATAAGAATATTGGAATATCACAAAACATGTTCAGATATGCATGTGTGCAAATACATGATATAAATGTTTGTCTAGAAAATATTATTGCATTCTTTCTTCCTTAAATATCACATTTTTAAAGGAATGAGTGTTATTTGTGAAAAAATCAAATCTAAGAAAATATGCCTCAAGAACGGTCACAACCATCGACTATTCCAACAAACACCAATAAAAGGTTTGTATCAATAAATAGATCATTATATAAATTATTGGCTCATTTCATGTTTAGACATTTTATTTTAATCATCCTTGCAATTATTATTGGGGTGTGTATTATAACAACAGCTATCGTCGCACCTATCATTTTACCTAGACGAGCCAATACAACTGGTATGTTGTTATTGAAAAATCAGAAATAAATGATGATGTTCTTATCGAAAGAGAGAATCATGGTAGCTTAGCACTTTTTTTCAGCATCTACAAGATGTCGAGATGCTGAAACAATAGAAGATGCTATAATTGATAATCGAATATTGAAAGAAACTGAAGAGATTAAGTCAAGGATTGATGATAAATTCCTATATATGAAACTATTGTAGTGGCTGCATATATTGTTATTATGGTTTCTCCATTTCTAAGTGATCGTTCTAGCGATGAGTAGTTATTTTTATTATAGGGGCTCCCTGAGAAAAACGAGTATTCAATCAGAGAATCATAATATAATAATTAATTTGGAAATTTTAATTTTGATACATTCATTCAATAAGTTGTGCTGAGAGACTGTAACAGCTCAAGTTTTAGATAAAAAAAAGTTTCTTTTGAAGTCAATATGATCTTCCGCTGTACAAGT